TTTTTAGAATGACATGGCGTCGGATCATTTTTAAAATCGGATGCGTATGTTTTACTTATTGTGGCAGTAAACGTTTTTAGGAGATAAACATATACACGTGTTTACAAACGTTTGACGGGGCATATAAATGCATTAACCCAAATAAGTCTGACGAGATAACAATCATATGCTTTTATTTTATTAGACCCTTTCATCCTTTTGATGTCCTACATATACGTTTCAGAATACTGGATCTGTTTCGAAATTTCAAGGATCACTTTCATGCCACACGGCTTCCTAAAAGTAAAATTAGCAACCGGTCCGCAAGGGGTCTTTCTAAAACCAGACATTAAAGAGAACAAGACGGGCATATCGCTGATGTGCTGGATTTCAAAACATTGTATTTATAGATCTAGTGTATGTACAAGTTCCGTCTTATTCCATGTAGCCGTTTAATCGGAACTGGGACGAGGTGCCAGGTGAAGAGTAATAAAGATTTCATATTTGGTGTCGAAATTGTATGTGACAGGGTGACCCGTATATTATGGGGTGGGACCTTTTCTCAAAATCTGTTAAAATAATCAAACAAACTGAAGACACCAAAGCGGTTTGGATTAATTCACACTTTAAAAATATTATATTATTATATATACAGCGTGTTATTTATTTGAATTTTCGTGAACCAATAACAACTTTCTTATTTCAAATGAAACACCCTGTATATTAAATAATTTCTGAATTCTTGGCAAATTATTTCGTATATCATTTTCTAACCTAAAATTTTCTCAGGAATCCAAAAATTGCATAACATACCGGGTGTGTTTAAAATAAGGAAGTTGAAATGACAGGAAGCAAATCCTAAATCAGTCTGGACAGAATCCATGCACCAGATAATATTATTTTCACATCTGGTCTCGTTTTTAACCAATGATCTTGCGGCATTCAACAAACAACATGGCTGCAGACAGATCGTCAATAAGCACTATTTCGCGGTAAACGCGTTTCCATGAGGCTTAAAGTTCTTTCAACCATACTCGAACATGGTTTAATCTCTCGAAATTTACATCTTATTGGTGTAACTGTACTGAGTCCCTGTTAAGTATGAAAACATGTCATACATGGTGCTCCAGAAAATATGCAATTTGCATTGTTCGACAACATTTTCTTTCTTTCTGGTGTGGATTTTCTGCTACATGAAAACGAAGTGGGGTGGTTTTGAACCTGCCTCACCCAATGATTATTTTGTTCTGACCAATACGATTACGTGGATTTGTCGGAAAAGAAAATGTGCGATGCAATCGCCTAGAATTTTGCATCAAGTGAAAACCATATAGTCAATTCATCCTGTTGAATCGAAATTGTCTGATTTTCAACCAACCATGTTTATAATAAACACTGGAAGATCTATAACCAAGATCAATATCGGTGAATTTAGTATCGTTTTTGTTGTTCAAATTCAAATACGACAATAACAATCAACAAAAAAAGTAATAACACGCAGACAACCTTTAGTTACTTTAATATACCTCGATCTAAACAAAATTAATGTGCCACATAAATATTTCTCAGATTGATTTATTCGAGTTAAATGTGACGTAATCATTACCAAACGCAGTTAGTCTAAATATGGGAGGTTTCAACGGCTGCTAATGTTATTAAAAAAAATTGAGGTTTCTTCGTATTTAGAAGTCTATATCATAAATTACACACAGATGTAAGTTCAATTCGATCGTGAGCAGGTTCCAAAATGCTCGTGTCAGATGAATTTTCGTGATGTTAAGAATAAGTATATTAATCTGAACCTTTTAACTTTTCCTACTTTGAATTTAATATAACTGCCTGCTTATTATTACTTAGAAATTTAGAGGAAATCTCTCATGCAACTACAATACAATACAGGGTGGTTTGAATTGCAATTCAACAATGTAAAAAAGTTTGTATAAACATATGTCCTAAAATACTTGATTTCGAAGATACGAGGTGTTTAAATATTGCTGAATATTCCGAGGCCAACAAAACTTACTACCCCTTGATATCTAGAGTTTTAATTAATACGGTATTAAAATATTAATATGAACTGTATTTAGTCTTTACATTGCGATATTTTTATATTACATATTAAAATGGTTATAACGGCTGTGTCGTTTTTACCTAATAACAAATCTAGATATCATTCACTTGATTTTGCATCTACAAAATACTCCAGCAAATGAAGATGGATACATTTGGGTAAGTAAAATCACTTAGTGTTCTTACGACACATCTACAACATTTGTTGTACAAATATCTGTCTCTTGAATTACGATGCGTCTAAATATAACGGTAACCTTATCTACCGGATGCGGCCTATCAGCGTGTTAAGTTGTTTTAACATTATCTACATGCGATGACGGCTTGTTACCCGCATCAATGACGTAAAAAAATCTCTATTAAATCGTCCTACATACCAGTCATGCATGTCTTAAGAGTTACGTGACGAGGATGTTGTACCTTTTTTTGACAGCAGTAAGGCAACTTATAACCTAAATTTGATAAAACATTAATTTCTTAAACGTTGTTTGAGAAAAGCCGCTTACTTTGTCATATTCCAAAGAAAGTGGATCTATAAACTTGTACAAAATACAACTTTTGTGGAATTTAGTCAATTAGTTCGCATAAGAAAGCCCACTGGCCTTACCATCTATCCAAAACTATGGTTGAATAAATTTTAAATGCTGTCCTTATTTGACGTTTTCTTTACATGCTTCAAGATCAGCCTTTATTAAAAATTTTTCTTACAAGTGTAGAGGTACGTAAATATTTTCTTCACCTATAACATTATTCCAATTGCAGATTTAAGACTCAAAGAAAATTGGATACCGTATGTATCCCAAAGATTACAAAAGGGGGTGTAACTCAGTGGTAGAGTGTCCGCTTCGCATGCGGAAAGTCCTGGGTTCAAATCCCAGCTCCTCCATTTAACTTTTTTTGACTACTTTTTTAATCGAAGGTAAGTCACATAATAGTATTAAATAGTTTTCTTGTTTTATAATTCTTTTTTGTTAAAGTTTATCGTTCTAATAATTAAGTATAACGATTTCTAAGCTTTCGTATTTTTTATATATATTTTTTTAAACATGAACGGCAAATGTATCGTTCTTAACAGAAGTTTGTTCTAGACCCTAGAAGTTAAAAATCAATTTAATTAATCATCGTGAATGTATAAATATTTCTTTCTTGCCTTCCCTCTAGTATAGTTAATTAATGGATATGCTGAATGTATGTAATTGAATGTCTGAACTGCAGAATGTGCAACATTGTTAGTGTTAGTTTAACAATTATGTTATAATTTTCAATCTAAAATTATGATGATGCTCATCATTTTTTTTTCGTCTTAAATAGTTTTTAAAAACAAGATTTTTTTTGGTTCAGGCTTAACCACCAATAACGAAAAAACAAAGAGGTGTAATTTAAATAAGCGCGTTTATTTTCAATGCCTTAGACGCTTCGCTGTCTGGCGGTTTCAGTTTGTAAACATATTTCAGCCTGTTTCAGAACGCGAAGAAGCGTGTTATGCTAGGAACTCGCTCCGATTTATTTTGGGGAAAGCCAGAATAAACAAAAAAAATATTCAAGATATATACTTGTATAGCAACGGCTGATGTTCTATATTCGTGATAATCAGGAAGAGAATCGGGACACTTTTATGGCGAATGTTTGGGGATATTAATTATGGTGCGTAAACGTTCACGATCTTTGGATGTTCACCAGGTCCTGTAAATTATTTTTGTAATAATAAGTGACGACAGCGCCAGTTATTAGGTGCCATACAAATTGTCCACGAAAGTGTCCATTTTTCAACTCAGATTTCCAAAACAGTTTGCAATTTGTGGTCTCATATATACAAAGTAAAGTTGGACTAAAGAAATTGTTGCTGTTGCTGTTAAAAAAATATATATACATCACGAAATTTGGTTCTGACAAAAATTTGAATTTCGTCATCTCATGGTGGAAGTTACCATTACTGAAATATTTTTATAATTTTTCATATTACTATATTTGTAAACGCTCATTTCCTAATATATAGTTGACGCACATCTTTATTGAAGTTCCGCTGTCCTATTACAAAAATGGACGCGAAAAAATGAAATCCGAATTTTGTGAATATTTTTTCAATTTAAAACAATGACATTATCCAGAACCTGACCAAAACGTCAGACGTCCAATTAGTATGAAAAAGGTGGAATATCTCGAGAATTACACCATTAATCGAGAAACAAAAAATGCCTTTAAATATTGAATAAAAAAATTGTTCAATAACACCAAACAGGACTCCACTCCTGCCAACTCAATCTTAAATAGAAACTCAGGTTTTCTCAGAAGTTTTCTTATGTACTATCGGTAGATAGCGCAAAAAAAATGACTTATAAAATTTCAATACTATTTCTATTTGACACGAGCGGAGCGAAGAGTGACTTAAAATGTTTACCGAACGTGTTGCATACTATACTTTTTCTACGACCTTTAGTTTTCGGGATACATTTTTGCAAAGCGAATGACGCGACCATCAGCATTTTAAATCTATGATCGTCCCTAACCGGTGACCAAAGTAACGGAAAAGCTCGCAGTGGCTCGTAACGGTGTTTAACAAAGCTAACACTAAAGTCGAATTCATAACATCGATCCGTGTATTTATTGACAAATAGGATAAATCATTTCTCTTCTGTAATAAAAAATAGAGTTTTCCATTTCGTTAATTGTGTAATTCGCGAGATATTGGACCATCTTCATACATACGCCTTAGTCGTGTTAAAATCTTCCTATTACACGGACTCTGTAAGCGAAACGTTAGGTACTTATATTCGCCAGCCAGGAAGGCATTAGCTCGCTTTTTGCGATGTATAATTTAGATTAAAATTAACTTGTTCTGCTCCGCTGAAACACATAAACCATAAGATACAAAATGGACTGATTGATGACCGCAGCGAGTAAAAACTCTTTGCGCAAATGGCCAACTGAAATTCTGTTAAACAATTACTCACAATTATTTTTGAAGCAGCAAATCACCGGTGCATGTTTTATCTGGAACAATAAAAAAAATGAAAAATTAATAACTAAATAATTAATACTCTGCAATTGTAATCACAACGTTACTATTTCGAAAACATTTTCGAGATTAGGTTAATTTACATTTAAAGTATTATTTAGTGACTAACCTCGTTTTCCGTTTTTTTTTTTTTTTTTTGAAAAGTGGGAAAGTGATATATTCCACTTCACAATACTGAATAGATTAACTCACTTTTTCTTCTTCGTATTAATTTACACCTTTGAATAAAACAATCAAAACGGTATATTGTCAGTTAATGTTTAAATAACTGAAAACACCGACCATGTAAGTTACAAGGACAGGCAAACACATCTGCAAAGTTATCAAAAGACATTGCCAGTTGCGTTACAGAAAGCGAAATGTAAATGTGCCTTTGTCGAACATAATAACAGGCCCATTATGTTCCACGTGCTCTCTAAATACATTTAAATAACTATAACCAGGAAGTCCGTACAAAGAAATGGTTTTCTTGAAATTGACGGACCTCAAGTTAGGCACCGGTGAAAGATCGTTAATTAAACAACTAATCAAAAAACTACTTACTGATAATTTTTTTTTAAATATAGGGGCTGCTATTAGTAACAAACTTTATGAATATAATATAAAACGCAATGCTGGACCATTTTCTTTCAAACGAAATAATTTTAATGGCAGACGTGACCGAAACAGATATTAAGAAAGCGCTTATCAGAATAATATAGCTTTCTTCAGGGAAAAGTTATTTAGTTTCACTGCTAATGTGCAAATCGTGGTTAAAATTCGATTATTTCGTTTTAACAATGAAGCTAAAATCGTTGAATTTAGTTTATTATTAATCTTTATCCACAGGAGAATACCGGGTGACCACGGATATATATTGTCAACTACCAAAAAGTGTGCTTTGGCGGAAAAATATGCAACGGAGTAGGAGCCATTTTTCTCAAATTCAAAATAAAAAATTTTAAAGGAAAATTCTTTTTCTCAATTACATAATTTTTTCTTTGCTGTTTAATAAATTTGCTAAAATACAAATAATAATTTCATTTGCAAGTACCATTTTGAAGACGCAATTAAAACCAAAGCAACACACAGTAAATTTTACAATAATTCTTTGTAAGGTTTTAATACTTTAAAGGTTGGTTAAGGGCAAAATCGGCATAATCCACTAGAGTTTTGAAAAAAGAAAGTGTAAAAAGTTGGAGTAGCAGGCGGTGTAATTTAAAAGTTATTAAATGCTGGTTAAAATTTAAATAGCTGTTTATATATTTGCGAAAGCGAAAAATAAAAGACGTGGACATGCAGCAATAATTTTCCACCAAGTGACCTTTATTTCGCCGAACAATCCGCCATGGTTTTTCGATAACTCTGTTTAAGGAACCCTGTGGCAATTTATTTTTCATATATGGCAACAGAACAGTGTGTTCGCAGTTTTCAGTGGTCAATGCCACAACTCGATTATAATCGACCGTAGTAATGAGGATGAGGATGAATCATACCCGTCTGAGAGTTGAAAGCTCGTTAAACCACACAAATGCAAGCTCGATATTATTTTATACCGTAAGTTGTCGTGGGTAGTGGTCGGCACCGCGAAGAGCGCATAAGAAACTATGTTTTTGCAAGATAAGCGTTCCTTTTATTTTGCTGATTGCAGGTTAGAATCCTCCTAGTATGACCACTACGAGTTTCACTAAATAAACGATGTGGAAAACTACAATTTAAGTCACATTAAAGCTTCACGAGTTATAATTCACAAACGTTTTACAGTGCAGTCACTTAAGTAAGTACTATATATGGGAAATTTACAGTATGATACAGTCTTTACACTAGACATGTAAAATATATATTTTGCATTATTATTACTTACGCTTAACCTTGCAATGAATAATTGTTTCCAAATGTTAAAATTGTGCTTAATACCATTGCAACAAATATGGTAGTTTTTGACTGCCTAGACTATTAAGAATCTTGGTTAATTACAAAAAATAAAAATCCACATTACTAAGTACTATCATTATTGTGATGAATTAAAAAAAAATAAAGGCACTTTTATTCTGTGAAATTTTTGAGCTACTCTGTATACTGTTTGGCTTGGAACCCATCTACGTGCACCTAAAATGGTATTTTGGTGGACCAATTAACAAGAACATTTACCATATGTTTTGATATAAAACATTCGCTGTGGGGATGATGGAAATAACAGGCGAATAAATTAGTTTTTTAAATATATTAATAAACGATAATAATAATAACAAATCTTTCCAAGCAGGGGGTTAGCCTTAAAAATAAAAACAGTTGATCCGTTAAAAAACTGATAAACTTCCGTCCAATATGAACAACATACAATGCTTTATATAAAATACTTAATTATTGAATTTCTCTTGCAATGTCCATCACAATCCACCACCATTATCTTTATTCAGTATCTCTTTCATGCATGTCTGCATAGCTATCTGCAGAAAAAGCTTTTTTATTTACCCAAACCTATAACAACTGGAGACCCGATATTCTAATGTCTAGTTCTCAAATAAAAATGAGATATATATTTGACAGAGAAATGTTCCTCCACCAGATCTTATTTGTTTCACCTTATATATGAAAGTAGCTCTTTTTTATTTTTAGCAAATGAAAAAATGAGTGAATCATGTGACAGGAATAAAACATATGTAATATACTTATAAGCATAAATCATTTAACAACAATTGTTTACGGGTTTTGTAAAATACTTTTTGCAATAGGGCGATAATGGTAATTATAGGTTGGTAATTATCGCCGAGCGATTGAATACAATTCATTAATTGCTTCACTGTGTTTAACTTACGAATCAAAGCGACATGAGCAGATAAAAAAAATGCGGTTAGTTACGTATTCATTAGAAATGGTCTCTGATTTCTGGTCAACATTAAACTGCAAATAAACGTTGCAGCACCTCCACGTAATACCTGGAAAATATGTAAATTTCCACAAGACCATTAAAGTTTCTAAAATATTTCACCAATTATAAAATCGCATCTAACCGTAAATCGAGGGGAGTTGGATAATTATTTATAAAATCGTTAAAGATTACGCTGCTGTTTTAACATTAGTGCCATTTTCAAATTATGTAACCGAAGCGCTTGAGTGATCACGCAGCGGCCATATTATCATGAATGAATGCATGCATTCTTGATATTATATATCAAGCACTTGTTCTCTAGGTGGACGTCAATGCCAAGTTGGGGCCACAAAACATAGACAATAGGAAAGCCATACAAATTTTACATTTCTTTGTGATAAAAAAAGGCTTTATAAATGTTTGCTGCAACATTATATACAAGATATTAAGTAAAAAACCCGAATAATCTTTAAAAGAATGACAAACCACTCGCTAAAATTATTTGCTATTTGTTATTTATTATTCAAAATTTAACTGCTTCTACATTTTCCAACAATTTTGTAACGTAGTAACGGTAGTTTATTATCATATTTGTACGATAGGAAAGTACAAACTTGTTTTAAACACAAATAATTTGAAGATTTAGATGAGAAATAATGTAACAGAAACCTATCCAATTGCTGTAAAATATATAGCTGATAGGAATTTCATATTATTGCTGTCATATTTATTAAACTATTTTCCCACACAGCAGTGCAGTATTAGCAGTTTTTCGTAGTATTTCAAACTGGTTTCACGAAGCTAACAAATTCTTTAAGTAAATGTGGTAAATCTTGTTATAACAAATTTCGATTAGTTAGGAAAATAATTCACCTAAATAAGTGCTCAAATAATATTATTAACTATTACATTTCATTGTTTTACGGGAGAGTACGTTTAATAACAATAAAATAAGCTTTAGTTTTCATCACCACTGGGCTAAAATTTACACGAAGTCTTATTGAGTATGTATTGCAGAAAGCTCTTTCAAGTAGAAATTTTTTCAGGTTAGCTATTAGCGCATTTAAATTTAGACCTTTTAATTTGATTACTACTTTGGTAATTGGTAATCGCACACCTACACAGACCTATCAACTCCCAAAGCAAATTTTAGTTAGTTTTAGAAGTATTCCCGACATTTTCAGTGTTGCTTTAGCAGAGCAAAATGTCGCTCTTTAAAATAGGTTTCACACCGCTTGATTAATGCGTATAAAAATATCTAGAATGCATTCCGGCGTCACGATATTCCGGACGAACTACTTTTTATTTCTTATCGTGATGGGCCACATGGTATGGCTCAAAGGTTCGAAAATATCAGTAATGGTTAGTGTATTACTTACAGGTGATTTCGATAGACATTTTGTCCTAATCGTTTACCTTCAGAACTAATCGAATCAAGTAAAAGTAATACGTGACTAATTAAACAAATATACCTTCGTATATAATGTATATACCCACCATACAGGGCGTTCTAATCCCATTATCTCCGACGGTATTCGATTTACGAAAAAAAGTGAATCAAACAAACTTCTACATTGTACCGGAAGTCCAAAAAACGTGGGAAATCTCTGGGATCTAGATAGAATTAGAAAAGAGAATACAAGTTATTCACTTTTTTTCCAAAAGTGATAAATAATAATAAAATCATAAAAAATAGTCATCCTTAAGTTTCTAAGTCTTTATCATACACCGTGTTGATAATTATGCGTTTTGGTGTACAAAGAAAAAATAGGGTTCAAGGATACTATTTTAAGGGGTCCGTCTCTACTAGGGGTCACTATATGACATTTTTATTAAATTGAATTACCCCGTAGAGAAAAAAATATTATAGGAACTTGTTATATAAAATCTAACTGTATATTACAGCCTTACACAGGGCGGCCAGTTTATCATCGACGGGGAAGAACTTAAAAAAATACACGCAACATCTTGTAAATTGTTTTGGTTACAAGATCCTCCTAAAAGAAAAAAATTATAAATATTAAAAACCAGGGTTGGACTGATTTTAATCAATTGATTTAATGCACGATTAAAATCATGATTTTTTTAATTTCAAATCGTGATTTAAATCAAATTGCAATTTTT